GTCCATGCGGAAGATTGACAAAGGAGGGAATGGGAATATGTTTATGGGTGGTATCCAGCTGCAGGTGGCAGAAATGGTGGCTAATAATCTTTTGGATTTGGATGCTAGTGGGATGTTAGGTGAGGATGAATGGAACCGTAATGCTGTTGTGGGAGGGACGGGGGAGAATGAGGGCCAAAGTGCAGGAAATGGGTAGCACACAGCTAGGGGCCCCGTCAACCATGGTGGTGGGGAATCCTCGGGGAAGAAGGTGGACATTTTGGAGGCCCCCTCGTTGAAGCTGGCATCATCGGAACAGTTGAGATGGAGATGAAAAACTGTGAGAATGGAATGGAAGGAAGCATGGTGTGAGGATGTATAGTCAAGCTAACTGTGGGAGTTGGTGGGTTTGTAGTAGCTATTGGTGGCTAGCCTACCCTCAGAAATTTAAACACAGATGTTGAGGATGGATAAGGTGAAGGTGAGAGCAGCGTAGAAAGCGGAAGCACAATTGATGACTTTTTCCAATTCCAGATGAAAGAGGGAGGCAACACTGATGATGTCATCGATGTTCCACAGAAAGAGTTGTGGGTGGAGGCTAGAGTAGGGCTGGCACATGTGAAGAACCTTTGTCAGTATTATGTGCATGATATTCTCTACTAAAGTTAGGGCATGTTGCTAAAATGGTGATACTTAGACATAGCTGTGCCTAGTTAGTAATTTTTATTGGACAATGTTGCTTCAGATACTATTTTCAAGCTGCTAAAGTGTGATGTAGGATTTGCAGGCTCAAGTTATACTTCTGGTTGCACCTTGCAGTTACCTCTGCAGCAGTGCAGTATTATTTTTGCTGAGTACACTAGGAGTAGGAGGGTGCTTCTGTTCTCTGCCACTGTTGAAATGAAATGAAATTAGAAAGAATCCAGGTGATTTACTAATCTAAGTAACTACTTCTTAAGTGTAACTTTACTGTTGTATTATTTCTACTGCAAAACTTCAAGTGGTTAGAGACTATACAGTTCTGCACCTGTTTTTAGTGCAACGTGTCAGACTAATGGAATATATTTCTGCATTGATACATATCCAAAACTGCTTTGTATTGATGGGAGATAGTAGGAACTGCAGATGCTGGAGAATCCGAGACAACAAGGTGCAGGGCAGAAAGGGTCTAGGCCCGAAACGTCAGCCTTTCTGCTCCTATGATGCTGCTTGGCCTGCTGTGTTCATCCAGTCCTGCACCTTGTTGTCTTGTATTGATGGGAAATGTGATATAATGGCACTGTACACCTGCTTCAATATGTATTGACACCTGTTACTGAAAAATGCCTGTTTCCCATTTTATTTTAAAGCAATGTTGATTTGGTGGCCCTCTTGTTTACTCGTGATAGATATCAACGTTCCTGATATCTAATTTTTCCTGTTGCACTGCACAATCTTTGATTCATTCAGGACTATAAATGGACTTCCAAATACCGACTGTAATAATAAATCTGCAGAAGTATGGACCTGTTTTTCCTCTTTTGGAATTTATGAATTACTTTTGCACTTATATTATTTTCTGATATAATTACAGAATAGCATAATAGTTGGAATCTACATACATTTATCACATATAGATCAAACATTCAACAATCCAGGTCCTAGTAAGTGAGTAAAATAAACACAAAGCTTTAAGTCATTGTTTTCACATTTTCTTTAAGTTCAATTGGATTAAAAGAAGCAGCTGCAATGAAGGGTACAATCTTGTACTCCTGGAGGTGGCAAGCTTGGAACCAGGAAGGGCACTTAATTAGGCAAGACGGTGGTTTACACCAAAGTCTGCTGTGTTATTGCCTCTATCTGAATTAAAGCGGCACTTTGCGGTTGATAGTTGTTTGTCCTAGCTGCTACCGTTGAGGTTCCTTAAGTAGCCAATTAAGGATACATAGAGGCCTCAACCCAGCTGGGATTAATCTGTTGCAAGTAGGTTTGTTGCTATGCAACATTCCTGACAGGTCAGTTGTGCAATAAAAATCAAACGTTCTGGAGAAAGATTGAAGATTGGAAAACATTTGTGGAGAAAAACCCAAAGTTAAAATTTCAAGTCTAATTTAACGTTTCCTCGAAATATTAACTCTGTTTCTCTCTCCACCAAAGTTGCCAGACATGCTGAACATTTCCAACACTTCCTTTTTATTTTAGATCTCCAATATTCACAGCATTTTACTTTTATTTTGGGTCAATTGTGCAGTCAGCTTATCACCTTGGTGGTGCTGCTTCTTTCTGGGTGGACAGGAGAGAACTGCAGTGGCCTCTGATCCATCTATTCCTTCTTCCTGCAAGGCCCAATCCCCAGAAACAACTTTACCCTGCCTCATGAACCCTCAAAAGAATCAGTTACCTGATTATGGAATCCTCCGTGATCATGGATGATCTTCCATCAGCAGCCATAGCCTCCTCTGGTGGCCTTACCAGTGCCTGATTGGTGTTAGATTGGGTGTGGGCCTTCCTTAGAAGAGGCACTGTGAGTCTCTTGTTGGCTCTTCAGCTGGCTGACGAGACTCCCATTGCCCCAACAAGATTCCATCTGAAGGTTCAGCCACCAATTGCATTCTGCTTTTGTGCTATTCTTACAACATGAAAAATTAGAGATGGAGAAAAAAATTCTGAATATAAAAAGTTTGAAATGAAAACTGAAAATTCTGGAACAGCAAAATTCAATTAGCATCTGCAAATGAAGAAGAGATTTAGATTTTGCACAGGAACCCTGGAAACATAGAATATCGGTGCAGCAGTAGGCCATTTGGTCTTTTGAGTCTGCTTTCCCCATTCAATGTGATCATGGCTTATCATCCAACTCAGTACCACGTTCCTGCTTTCTCCATGTATGCTTTGATTTCCTTAGTCGTAAGAACTATATCTACATCTTTCTTGAAAGTCTTCAATATTTTGACCTTCTCCAGGATATAAATAGAGTGGGTTCTGGTGAGGGCCACTAATCAAATGTTAAGCCATATTTTTAATTCTTGACTGAACATTTTTGTATTTCCAACAGTTTCTATTTTGTTTCCCAATGGAAAGAATACTTTATAAGCAACATTGCAAACAGTAAACTTAATCAAATAAAAGCACAGATATAGTAAGTAAACAGGTTTTCTGTAACTGATATCATTGAAAAGTATTTATTTTGGATCAAAATTTTTGACTGTAAAATCTCCCTTTCAATATATCAACAAATAAAACGTTAATGTCTTTAAGCCAACTGTTTTAATGAGGTAATAAGACAGCAAAATATTTAAGAGATAGTTTAAAATAGAAAACAAAAAAAAAATAGGCACTCTTAATAGCTTGACAATAAGTTTAGGACTTTGAACCTCAAAGACATTCGATATTGAAATTGGATATAATATGTGTACATCCGAATATCTCACATAGACACATATCCTACACCAAACAGCCTATTTTGGAATTTTAGAGCTTTTAATGTAAGTGTTGCTAACAATTTCATTACAACAAATATGTACTGTAGTAGGAAGTAAGTACACCTTAAACATTAGCAAAATTCTGCAAGATAAATTAAGACACTAGCTAAAGTCTGCTATTAAAACGCATTTGACACGAAAACTGCACTCATGGTAATAAGATGTTTGAAAGTCATTGGCTGGGCTGTGGCTGTCTGAAACTTGTTCAGCTGGTAAGGCTTTTTAGATCTATGGATAATGATAGTATTTGATTACATAATTTCTTGTAACCTTAAATCAGCTTATCTTTACTTGTTAAGAATAAGGGTTATTGATTTTAAAACTGCTGAATAGATGTGAGGATCACATGATTGAGCTGCAAATGCAAATATTTTAAAATTTTACCAAAGAATACATCGTAGTTTTATATCCTGCTGGTCACTGATTGATAGAAATACTCAGTGAATCTTTTCATATTTGAATCCAACGTTCTTGCACAATCATCATTCTTAATCATTTGGCTTAATTTAAATAAGGCTTCCAGGCCATGATATCACTGTTAACGTAACTTTGTTTCGCTGCTCTTTCAGCATTGGGACGAGCGCTGAATGGCTCATGCCTGTTGTTGAGAGTCCATTCACTGCTACAATCATATCACCACACCTACGGGGAAGAGAACAAATAAAAATAAATACCTATGAAACCTGATCATTTATAAGGAATGACAGGTTGTAACATTGTAGGCATACTAACAACTGCACTCAGCTTCCACATAGATAATGTAATTGTATTATCCTATTGGCCACTCTGGGTTAATTTAGAAGTATAGGTGTATTTACTCATTAGTTGATGCCCTTTGTTTTCTGGCATTTGTGTGGTCACTTCCAAACTAATGTCCTGCCAAAAATTCCATTCAGTAATAGTGCTACACAGAATCTTACCTGTACAGTGGGTGACAGTTGTTTGGAAATCCTGCTCGCCACACAAAGTGAGTTCCTGCATATACCTAACATACTCTAGTAGCAGAATTCAAAATGCTTTTTTCCCCAAACTGAAATGATAGATTAATCTTTAAATTTGGAAAGAAACATATAGCTTGGGAAAATATGAACATTTATATAGAAATATGGCATTCAGGCCAATCTGTCTATTCTGGTAATTTATACACCATGCTAACTTTCTCCATTTGTCTTCCCCTACCCCTACTGGCATAATCCTCCCTTGTTTTCTCCCTCGTGCACTTATCTAGCATCCCTTTAAATGCATTTATGCTATTTTTCTCAATTACTCTTTGTGTTAATAAGTTCCATATTCTAATTACTCCCTGGGAGAAAAATCTCCAAATGTTTAATTGAATAATAAGTGATTAATCTTATATTTAGAGTCTCTCCTTTTGGTCTCTTCCACAAGTGGAAACTTCTTTTCTCTACCTACCCTTTCAAAATCTTAAAAACTTCTACCAGGTCACTGCTCAGACTTTTCTTCTACAGAGAAAACAGCCGTAGCTCTTAAATCTTTTTGGATAGACAACAGAAACAGATAAGTATGCAGTATGTGTTTAATTTGAAAACTGTTACTACGTGCCTTCTTTGTAATAAGATTATGGATAGATGATGGCAAATAGCAAGTTACATTGTTCATTGAAATACATACTAGCTCCATCCAAATATTATTGATTGACGAAGAGTCACCGCACTTGAAAAGTTAACTCTGCTTTCTTCCATCAGATGCTGCCAGACCTGCTGATTTTGCAAGCAATTCAGCTTTTGTTTCAGATCTCCAGCATTAACAGTTCTTTGTTTTATAAAATTGACTGAGTAATGGAATTGGGAGAAAATTTGCATTATTTCATAAAAAAGCTTTACTTAAACTTTAGATGTGAAAGCATACAACTGTATCAAGTAGTCACTGATTCACTGATGCCCTTTGGTTCTCGGGTGGGAGAGCACATTAACTTACCGATGGATATGGTGTCGTAGCCGCAAACAGCCACAGGTTTTGCTCTATCAGCAGGCTTCCATCAGGCACAGGACATTATTGACTACAACCTTATCATTTTAAGAGCTCTGTTTTACCAACCTGACACCGTCACTAACAAGAAGTCCTTACACTTCCTCAATGTGCAGGTTGTTTGTGATCACCTTAAGTTTTTTTGCAAGTCTGTGCACAGTACCCTGGTAGCTTCCATGAATCATTCATACTGAGGAATTCCCAATCAACTCAGCATTTTCAGTCACTGAAAAAAAATCATACTGGTGTCCAGGGTACCTGAATACACCTCAAGGAGGTGGCTAATCTTTTTTATTGTAAAAATATACTTTATTCATTAAAAATACGTATATGTATTTTTGTATACGTACACAGTTATTGAAGCATTTCTATACAGTCCCTTTGCACTCGTATAACAAACAAACATTGGATTTTGGCATTCCCTACAATTGCAAAAAATTTCCAAGGCATTTCTTACTTATACAGGACTATATTTACATACTTTTGAAGCACTGGGAGGGCCTGATAACTAAACAGACCCTCAATGAACGTCAGCAGAAAGATCTTAAGCAGTGGTCTTTCCCCACTGCGCCTTGGCAGCAGCTGCCCCAAGCTTTAATGTGTCCCTCAGCACATAATCCTGGACCTTGGAATGTGCCAAACTGCAACTCTCAGTCCAGGTCAACTCTTTGCTCTGGAAGTAAAACGTGTTTTGGGCAGACCAAAGAATGTTTTTCACCAAGTTGATGGCCCTCCAGGTGCATTCGAATATTTGTCTTGGTGTGCGTCCTGTGGATCAGACCGTAGACCATAGAATCCTGTATCACAGAGCTGCTCAGGACAAACCTCGACAAAAACCACTCCATCACTCTGCAGACCTTCTTTGCAAAGGAACATTCCATTTTCAAGGGTAGTGTGCAGTGGTGGAGTGTCTGGGCGTGCATTAAGGACCTCACAGGTCGTGCCCTTCTCACCACCAGCCAAGCAACATCTTGGTGTTAAAAACCGAAAGAACTGCAGATGCTGTAAATCAGGAAATAGCAGTATCTTGGTGTTTGTTGGAAAGTTCTGGTGATGAGGCATTCTGCCAAATTACTTTGACAGTCTGCTCAGGGAACAACTCAACAGGATCACCCTCTCCTTTTCCCACAGGGGTCTCAAGGACACTACATACTGACCACCACCTCATAGGCTTATGGTCAAAGTTATTTTTCTTTACACATTTTTTCACAAGGGACAAATGATATGGAACGGTCCAATTACTTGGAGTGTTCTGCAGCAAGGCCAGGCCCATCTTTCATAACATCAGGGATGGGTAGAATCTCAGTACGTAGTGACACTTGGTGTTTGCGTACTGAGGGTCTATGCACAGCTTGATACAACCGCACACAAAGGTGGCCATCAGGATGAGAGCAGTGTTGGGTACGTTCTTTCTCCCTTATCCAGAATCTTTTACATGGTGATCCTTTGTATGTAGTCCATCTTTGACCACGAAATGAAGTGGAAAGTAGCCCGGGTGACTGCAGTGATGCAGGCTCAGGGAATAGGGCAGACCTGCGCTACATACAACAACACTGACAGCACCTCACACTTGATGACCAGTTTTTACCTGCAATGGAGAAGGAGTGGTGCTCTTATCTGCCAAGTTTCTGCCTCACCTTGATGATATGCTCCTCCCAAGATGCTCCGACACCTCCGAACTATATATCCAGCAACCTTAAAGGAGAATACTGCTGATCTCCTCCAGGTCATCGGATGCCTTTTGTTAAGTTTTGTTTGGGCTCCATTTGTCACTAACTAAAATGGGGGAGAAGCTTGGAAATTGCATGTCCCTCCCGTGAATATGGCATTTTCCATTTTTGCAACGGAGTCAGATTATGTTTCTGGCATGCATGGTCATGGAGATAGTTGGCCAGTTAAATCATCAGCTGTCTTCATTCAAGTTATATTTTTGCAGCCCAAGTCTGTGAAGTGCAAAGCTTGTAGAGTGTACATGGTAACGTGTAGGTTTAATCTTTGTGCATTCCTTTTGATCGCAGGGTACCCCTTTAGGGAGGTAAGGCATCTCTTTGGATATGGTCCTGAACACTTCTGGGGTAGGTAAGGTGCCCTCTGGAATTGTTAAAAGTAGGCATAAATACATAAACTCATTAAGTGCAAACTTACGGAAAGCATCAACTATCCTATCCAAGTTAACTGTCAATCCCAACTGCCAAGAGGACCTGTAAATGTCCTGCCCTTTAAATCTTTGAAAAATATGTACGGAATGATAAACATATCGTCGCTTGCTATGTCACTGTAATTGCTGGCATAAACCTGTGGGCTTCTGATACTAGATTAGTGCTGCCTGACTGATTTCATAATCATCCATTAACATAGCAAGGTGCATTCTGTACCCTATTTTGATTCACAATCCAAGCAGTTGTTGTATTGTTGTGGGAACCAGGAACTATGAATTTCCAAAGCTTGATGTTATAAAAGATTATGCACTTGAACTAAACGTTTGTTAGTCTAAGGCATCATGAAGTTGAAGAAATATAAATGCAGTGTCATGAATGACAATATTATTTAAAATGTTGTGAAGTCTGCATTTGACACTTAGAAATTTATTTTAACTAATTTCTGCATGGATCCTGAGGCCTGCCCATTGTGAAATACTGAATAAGTTCATCTTGTGGTGTAAGGGCAAAGGAGCCATAAAAGGGCCACTGGAGTGGGTAGAGGGACATAAGTTGGGAGGGAGGGTGTGAATGCTCCTGCAGGGGTATGTGTAGATCATACGGTGCTATGGCTTAGCATGGACGGGTCATGGAAAGTGTGTGGAGTGTGAGGGGTGAGGGCTGAAGGAATGTTTTGTGCTTTAGTTTAAACAGTGCCAGAACTCCAAGACAGGCTTTTCACTCAGCTGACCTCTGGACCCGGTCTCCTCCTCACTACCTCTGGGATTACATGCCCAACTTCAAATACATGCCACACCTGCAGACTAAAAATCTGATGTCTGGGCAGTCATTGTTACAGGTCAGGTTTGCGGAGCCAGGAATTCTCTTGATTCTGTATGCACCTGACTTACAAACGAAAATACAGGACTATGAACCAGTTAGAAAATTCAAACATAATCTACAGTTACAAAAGTTTTTACCATATGATCCTGAATAAGAATATTGTGTTTTTGCAGCTTAAGGAATTTGAAATGCCATTGATTATTCACTGGGAATAAATTTGAAAGTTTCCAATACTTAGTATTATGAATTAGATACATGATGTGATGTTTCAGAAAATCTGTGCATCAATTAATTTTCATGAAAGATCACATTAGTTGTGTTGTAACACTTTAGGAAACAATAGTAACTGATGAGTTTTTACATAATGCTCTTTTGTACTAATTTTAAGCAACAATTTCTTGTAAACAAAATATATACAAAAAAGTGTAAGGAGGGAAGAGTCAAGTTTTAATTTGATGCTTAAAAATTTACTTTATATCGTTACTCAATTATTAGTGCTATTGTAAAGAGGAAAATATTTGGGACTTTATTCTGCCTCAGCAATGAAAGAGCTAATCACATGCAGAATTTCTCATTTTAAAATGGAGGCTTCGCCTAGGTGATGGTTCCAAATAAACACAAAGAAAGCTTACTCACCTCAGTCTTCCATCATAATAAGCTGGTGTCCCAAATACAATTGTTTTTATAAAAAATGGCTGATTGCAATGATTTTCTTCATAACCACCAACAATACTGAAGCCCCAACTTCCTGAGTTACTCCTCCGAAGAACAATATCATGACTAGTATGAAGGGTGCTGAAAAGAAATGAAACATTACAATGAATGCTAACTGTAGCTCCATTATGTTTTCACTTGACTGCTAAATATTCTTTATCCTTGACATCTATGTCAGAATTCAGGAGAAGGAAGGAAAAAAAAGCACAAACAGGAAGAAAAGAAATGCGTCTCTTGAGTGAATATTAAGATTCTGGAAACTGGAAAAAAAATTCAACATGTAAATCATCCTCAACTGAGTGATCTAAGCCATAATTCTTTCTTTCGGTGTGCAGGTTACTCCATGAGGCAGCTTTGTGGCTGTTCTCAAACTACTGTTCTGAAATCTACTTTAAGTTTGCTGATACGATAGCAAATCTTAAGGAGTATTCTTTACAAAGGCATTCTACCTACCACAGAACAGCAAAGAAAAATAGATTGCACCATCCCTGGTTTAGTTAGTCTAAGTCTTTTGTGCCAAAGACCTCAATCATTGCTGAAACACATAGAAAGACATGATAGATATGAAATGTTGGAAGTTTCTGATCATCAGTGCAGTAAAAAGTAACATTTTGATTTGTAAGGAAGGGGTTTAATGTTGATATAATACTATCCTGTCAAAGGACAAGTAATAATATCACTTTGGGAATCAACTTATAGCAAGACTTAGCCATACAACTATTGTGCTAAATTAATGGCCAGTAGCAGAAGCTCACCATAGGAAATTAGTTTGTAAAAGTTTAGAAATTCCAGTACAGGATACGTTATTCACGAAGAAACAGAACAATTACTGAGCGCAGGAATGAAATTGAGTTTACCCTTCGAGTTCATAAAGAAAGAAAATAAGGATGATCCCCAATGAAACTTGGCAGAATATCATGGCAAGTTGCTACTAAGTAATATATAAATTTGAATGGAAGCAAAATACACATGAACCAAGAATATCCATGAGCCAAAGGGCCAACCCACTAAAGAAACATTATTGGGGTTGATGCAAAAGGTTCAATACCAGGCAAGGACAAGAGTATTTTGGTTTGTCTGCAGTCAGTGTTTTTTCTCTCTGGTCACAATTGGAGTCTTGGTTAAAACACATTGATGGGGAGTTGTACCAAATGTACCAACTTGGCAAATGCAATCCTATGCTTGAATATGTCAAACAAATTGAAAATCCTCACGATGCAACAAGAAATGCCAATTTCATGCACTTCCTTGATATGTAGCGAATATTGAAAATGAAGAACTGGAGAAATTTAAGCAACCATATACCATTCAAGGAGTCCTCATACTCTTTGGACAGAAATGAATTTATAGAAAATTTCTTCAACGTTTCTAAGTTAACACTGAAAAAATCTTATCATCTGTTTAACTTGACTGAATACACAATTCACTCACCTTGGCAATCCTAACCACATGACCCATGATGGTGACCAAGTCGTATCATATTCATTCTCAGTGTTTGTGCTGATTTGCTCATCTGCAACTTGACCCTGCTCTTCTATTGTTTGTACTTCCAGTGCCTTTAGTATAACAACTGGTGAAGCAGCGCTCGTTTTTAGTGTGGCCACGGCTTCACTGTGACTCAGACAGGTTAGGTCAATACCATTGATGCTTAGTAGTATATCTCCTGTTAAAATAACCAGACTTACTTTCAACTTTCTATGTATGTTAGCTTTGGGATACTTGCATTAAATTACACATATCTTAATTTTTCATGTCTTCTGATATTTTCACAAGATCATTCCAGAAAACATTTTGGAAATTGTATCAACAAAAACTAGTTATCCACTAACTTGGGAAAATGTTACTTTTAATTTTTTACTGTGACAGAAACAATAGCTGCTTTGTTGCATTGATTCCTTTGCAGAAATGAGGGGCTGATTCTTTTCTTAACAGTCAGCATAATCGACTCAACAGATATATTTCAGAGCAGAAAAGCTGATCTTAATACATTGGGCTGTATTTTACATAGGTTCAAGGTGTATTGACAGTGTCAAAGTTAGGGCAGGTTCAGTTGTTGGCATGTCCCATACCACTTCATGACCATCAGGCCAATAATCAGGAAGAAAGTTCATCTTACGATAGCTACTGGTCAGTCAGAAGACCAGCAGCTCTCTTCTGCCACCAATGCCACTGGCAGGGGTCCTGCTGCCCTGTAGAAGATGAGCCAGTGGAGCTTGGATGTAGGTAAATATGCACCGGAACAGCAGGTGTGAGGGGAAGGGAAATGTAGGTGAGGATGGACTCTGATGGGGACAGGTTTCCAACAAGTCACTCTGCTCTCTCTTGCATCTCCGACGGCTTGCCAGCTTTTACGGGGACTTGGCACTGGCCTCCCATCGCCACAGGTAAGCGCTGAACAGCACTTAAGGACTTCAATTGGCCTACAGGCAAATGGCTACCTGATGCAATCCCCACTGCAGGTAAAATATACTCCGTAGGAGTGAAAGATACCAGCCATGATCTCAGTCCTCATTATCAAGTTTTGGTGTACACTGTTACAAATGAATGCTCTATCTATCAGCCTATACAACAACTCCTGAAAGATTGCATTTACAAAAGAAAAAGTTACAAATGTCAATCACAAGCAGCCATTCAAAACAAGGCTTGTACAATAATAATGAAGGGCATGGGACCATTCAATTTCTTTCCTTGTTCTCAATTTCAAAATATGTTGGGTGAGGATAGTGTTGTTGTAATGTCACTGGACTAGGAATCCAGGGATTCCGGCTAATGTTCTGGGAACATGGGTTCAAATTCCACCATAGGAGATGGTGAAGTTGAAATTCAATGAAATCTGTAATTAAAAGCTAGTCTAAAAGGTGACCATGTAACCATTGTCAATTGTCATATAAAAACATCTGGTTCATTAATGTCCTTTAAGCAAGAAAATCTGCTGTCCTTACCTGGTCTGGCCTACTTAGAAATGTGGATTCGTACTTCCATTCTGACAGTTCTTTCAGAGCTGACAGAGGAAGGCAAACCATGCCCCTTTTCACAGCTGTCAGCACCTGTATTCTCAAATGTAAAGGTCTTGACAGCCACGTTGACAGCTGCTGGGAGTGTACTGGGAGGGTAGGGTACTGGGAGGATAGGGTGCTAAATAGGTATGGAGCTAGGAAAGTAGGGTGCCAGATGGGGATGGAGTAGAGTACTAGGTGGGTAGGTTGCCAAATGGGTAGGGTGCTAAGTAGGCTTGTGCTAGGTCGCAAGGTGGCAAGGGGTGCAGAAAAATGATGCATTCTTTATAGTAGGTTGGGGTGTGCAGGAGAAATCCAGTCTGAGGGCAGGCTGGAGTTGGGGGTGGAGAGGACGATGAGTGAGGAGGGTTGGTGTTGGGCCTGAGGTTTCAGATCTGGCAGAAGGAGTGGGTTAGGTGATATTAACCCCTTGTGCAGGTGCAAGGGGGTTTAGGGTTTGTGTATTTGGTAGTCTGTGAGCTACATATGGGGTTTGTTTAATTTTCCTTAATTTCATTGGGCCCATCCAAAGTCTCTGGTGAAATGGAGAGTTTGGAGGTAGAGGAATTGCTCAGCAGAAGATCCAATTTCCTGGGCAATTCCTCTATGTTGGAATAGTCCCCTATGTGCATCACCATGTACACTGGCATAACAACAACTATCTGGTTGGTGGAAAATCTGTCCAATACTTTACCAGGCCTACAGAAGTTATAGAAAGTGAAATTCATAGATACATAAAAATCTTGAGAATAGGAGGGTTAATCAGCATTGTAACTTCTTTGAACTGCACTCAAATTCTAGGGTTAAACATGGCAAGCAGAATTTGGTCAATTCCTACTCTGCATGATGTTAACAGGTATGCTACATAATGTAGATGTCAAACTGAATCACCAACGAAGTTCCTGTGGAGCTCTGGCGGTGTGTAGTCTTACCACGTTTGATCCTCCCTTCTCTGTAGAGGCAGCCATGCGGCTGTACACTGGTGACAAAGATTGGCAATTCACCGTTTTTGCTGCCCCGTCCTCCTGCTACAGTCATTCCTAAAGATTCATGAGGTTCTTTCTTTACATTGATCTGTTTTTCTTGACAAGTAACACATTGGGACAGGTCCTGAGGAAATAGGGAAAACTTTTGCTTTCATTCAATGTTTTAAAATATTAAAAACAGGGGTCATCATGAATGAAAACAGAAAATGCATGAGAACCTCAGCAGATCTGGCAGCATCTGTAGAGGGAGAAATAGAGTTAAATTTTTGAGTCCAATTTGACTTTTCTTCAGAAGCCTCCAATATTCACATACTTTGCTTTTATTTGAATCATCATGAATACATTTTTACAGATTCTAAATTATTTGAACTCTACCTTATTTTCACAACTGCTTTATTTAACTCAGGTTAGGAGAGGCAGTGACGTCATAGGAATGTCACTAGACTAGTAACCAAGAATGCTAGGCTAATGGGTTTGAAGCCTACCATGGGAGACGGTGAAAAATGAATTCAGTAATATCTGGAATTAAAAGCTGGCCTCTTAGTGACCATGTGACCACTACTAATTATTGTAAAAACCCATGTGGTTCACTAATGTCCTTTAGAGAAGGAAATCTGCCACCTTTACTTAGTCTGGTACATGCGCCTCCAGATACACAGCAATGTGGTTGACTCTTAAGTTCCCTCTGGGAATCAAATGCTAACTGAGCTATCAATGCCCACACCTCATGAATGAATAAAAGAAACTCATAGATGAATTCTAATGGCTCAATAAACTATCTGCAGCCTTTCTTGTGGTTGACCACACTATCCTCCTCCAAAGCCCTCCTAATGTCAAAGTGGGTGAGATTACCCTCTCTTGATTATATTCCTATCTTTCCAATTGTGGAATAGACAATCTCCAGCATTAGCCTTTTCTCTGAAACAGTTCCTCTGAAAGGTTGCCCAAAAATATGTTCTTGATGGTGTCCTATTTCTCATCTATACACTGCACCTCAGTGACATTATCTGAAAACACATCAGCTTCATGGGTACACTAACAACACTCAGTTCTACCTACTACTAATTCTTTTGACTCCAACCCAGCCTCTTCATTGTCAAATTGTGATTCTGACATCCAGGACTGGATAAGCAAAATGACCTTCAATTAAATACTGGCAAGACTGAAAGCAATGTTTTTATGTTGCAAAGTCAATTCTTAGAATCAAAGAAACCCTACGGAGTGGAAGCAGACCATTCAGCCCAGCAAGTCTGCACCGCCTCTCTGAAGAACATCCCGTCCAGACCCACCCCACTACCCTATCTCTGTAACCCTGCATTTCCCATGGCTAATCCACCTAGCCTACATATCCCTGGACATTACGGGCAACTTAGCATGGCTAATCCACCTAACATGCATATCTGTACATTTAGCTAATAACTCCATCCATCACTATGGCCACTGTTTGAGGCTGACGCAGATCTTTCAATACCTTGTCATCCTATTTGACACTGAGATGTAGTTCTGACCCAGTATGTGTTCCATCACTAAGGTCAACTAATTCTACTTCATAACATTATCTGTCTCCCCTTACCTCAGCTAGGTGTTAGGCGATGGCCTAGTGGTATTATTGCTAGACATTTAATCCAGAAACCCAGGTAATGTTCTGCGCACCTGGGTTCGAATCCCACCATGGCAGATGGTGAAATTTGAATTCAATAATGATCTGGAATTAAGAGTCTAATGATGACAATGAAATTGTTGCTGGTTGTCAGGGAAAAACCCATCTGTTCACTAATATCGTTCAGGGAAGGAAATCTGTCACCCTTACCTCGTCTGATGTACATGTGACTCTGGACACACAACAATATGGTTGACTTGTAACTGCCCTCTGGACAATTAGGGATGGGCAATAAATGCTAGTCTAGCCAGCTAAGTCCACATCCCATGAATGAATAAAATAAAGCTAAAACTTTGTTACCTCAAAATTTGCTTATTTCAAGACTCTTCAGTTATCTGCCAGCTTGCTCATTTTGTGAACTTGAGCTCACACAAAACTCCACAGCATGTATCCTAATTCACACCAAGATCTATTGGCTCATCATCGTCTACATTTGTGCACTGCTGACCTACACTGATTCCTAGCCCAGCAATGCACTTGAACTCTGCCAGTTCTGTAGCCTTCCCACATCTCTGTCCTCCTTTAATTTGGTCTTTTGCAAATCACCAATTTTCATTACTACACCATTCATTGGTATGCCTTTGGTTGCCTAGATACTAAGCTCCTCGTTTCCCTCTCTGAACCTCTTTTCTACCTTCTCCTCCTAAAGATACCTTTTAAAATCCAACTCTAATAAGCTTTTGTATATCTGTTCTAGTACCCTGTTAGATGGCTGGTATCACATTTTGCTTGGCAATAGTCCTGTAAAGTGTCTTCGGACATTTTCCTAACTTAAAGGGGCTATGTCAATATAAGATCTTATTAGTTACTGATTTTTCGTTTTATGGCCCATTCTCCCTGTAAGGGGAATCATAACTGTCAGCTTTCCTAACAAAATTAAGACTACAAGAAAATTTAACAAAAGTTCTGTTATTTTTAAGTTTGGTATTAGAGAATGCAGGGCAGGTTCTGAAATAATACTCAAGTATAGTGATATTCTATAGATCACCATGGATATACAAGTTAGATTTGAGCAATGAAATGTATCACATTGGGAACTGTAAAGTAATTCCTAATGGACAAAGAATATTATCTTGGATAATTACAAATTTGAAGTAAATAATTTTAATTGAATATTTAATATGAAGTGATTGTCAAGCATACTAAAGCTAATAGAGATCATTTCAGAACCATTTTTATAATGCAGCTAATTAGTTAACATCTAACATGTTCATATAATATATATCATGCATTTTAATGAAATTCATTACTGAATTATTTTCTCACTCACCTTTTGAGTACTAGGTCTGCTGTGGTACAGGAGCTGTGTATGCTGGGGCAAATGCTGATTACTCGTGAGAGATCCTGGCTCTCGAATAACATTAGAAAGCTGTTCGTTTGTTCTTCTATAGATTATGAAATGAACTCTCTCGCCACTGGACTGATAAATATGGAAATAAAACATTTACTTATGTATAATTATACTTTATTTTCTGTACTATTCAATAATTCTTAGAATGAAAACATCTCGTAAGGGATGATAGAAGATAGAAAAAGTAAAACGTGAAATTATTGTAATCCATTACATGCCCTTTCATCTCAAACACAATAAAAACAAGATTCAAATTGCAATGAAAGCCTTTTCTGACTCTTGTAACCATTCCAGTTAATATGAATTTGGGAGCATCAATTCAACTCTTAATTGACATACCCCTACAATGCTAGGAGTGGAAGTTTATTTTTGAGGTGGGTATTGGGAGCTTGGTCTTATCCCAAAACTCATCAGTGCCTGCCCACAATAGCTTCACAGTGGAGAATCAGGATGGGCTGGAGTCAGAGATGGCATTCTTGTTAGCAATCCTGAGGCAGAAATGGAAATTGGCAGGGTGGCAATGCAGCTAGGTTAAAACAGCTACTTGTGTTCTGTGGTACATTGGACCAGTTCTGGTGATGGCTGAGACTTCTCATCTTCCTCACCTGTGAAACTTCTCCTCATCATCCAATCCCCTTGAAACTCCCACAACTCCTCAGTCCTCTAACGTCTGTATACCACTCATTCCCAATACCTCCATAACTTCCCATTAACAATAATCAATCACTCAGTATCTACTATACACAGATCACACATGATTTGTAATAATATTGGGAGGTATCTGACAAGCTCACAAAACTGTCAAAATAAACCATCATTCAAAAACTCCTTAAATAACATTGTTGCCGTAACTACTCATAAATCAGCCAAAATAATCAAGCACAGTCTCTTGAACATGTGTCAACACCCTGCTGAGCAAAATTCATAAGTGAGCTGAAAACTGCCAAATAGTCATAATGAAATTCGAATGTATAACTGTATAAACAGCCTCTGATGTGTAGAATTGATTAAAGGGTTTGAAGCTCAGCCAAGCATGCAGTATCAGATTCCATTCAATAATGATTGTAACTGTACCAATAAAAGCTCCACAGCTGATTACATTGAAACATTCAGAGCCAGCTTTAAGCCCAGCCTTCTGTCTAAGCTTAGAAACAATCAAAGAAATTTGACTGTTAATATAAGCTGAATGTCACTGAAAAAATGAAGGCAAAGGGGAGAACTGACACTGTTACTTCTGAAGTTTAATGATGTGTAATGCAGAAGATCATTAAGTTACTGTTCAATTTAATGGTCACCTACCTTTTCAAAACTAAGCCCTATCATCAACTATTGTATTATAAACATATATTACTTATCAGACAGCATTTAATTAAGACATACAAATTCCTGACTCAAAACCAGCAACCCCCACCAACAGTTCATAATATTCTAAGCTGGTGTGAAGTATAGTGCCTTCAAAAGTTGGACCAAAAACCTGACAATTGAAGAAAGTTTTGAAATGAAAACTTCAACTATGGAGCCAGTAATGTCAGGATAGCAAGATGTGGGCTCACAACCTGCCTTCTTATTTAATGATGTAAAAAAATTGCGAGTAATGGGAACGGTAGCAAGAAACTCAGAATCAAGTTCTGCCTGCTGTTTTCAAAAGCCCATCCAAAGTGGGTTGATCTGTATCCGGAATGGGAAAATCTAGCCCAAAGTTTCCACTTGCATGATCAGTGCATTTCTCATAGTTCAAATAGCTTTTGGCTTATTTCCCAAAATATATTCTGTTGTCTTCTTTACAATCTCAAACTGAAAAGGAGAAAAGAAACTATGCTGTAAGTGTCCAAACTTTAACAGCCTTGTGGATTTATTGGAAGTAAGTCATTGTATCAGAGTGATTGAATCGATATAGTTCATGTAAGAAATGTCATGCTGGTACTACAAGAGTTGCTTTGCTGATGTTAGGACTAATGTACAATGTAGGGACGTAGTGGAGTGAACTTCAATCTGCATCTGGTTGTACTAACACTGTTCTAGAGATTGTTTTGCCTGCTTAATCCTGCCCTGGGAATATCAGGATACCAACATTCAGTATCATGGATTTAGAGAATAATTCATTAGCACTTATAATTCATTAGCACTTATATCTCTTAGCTTGATGAGCCAGCTTAAAAGAAAAAAAATTAGGATTAAAAACCTGAACAATAGTTGCACCAGGTTTTACTTCACCATGTTCTTATTGTTTGTCTATTACAAAATCGTGTCATATTTTTGTAAAACTTCCAATTACACAAAATTATACTTTCGGTTTTATTACTGTAATTGTTCAGACTATAATTACAAGTAGCACTGCAGCGTGGAGATTAACATCCATGCAATGTCAAGCTAAATATGTATGTATACACCCACATATCTGATGCAATAAAATAATTTTACCTGTATAATTTGAGCTGCAACTTCAGGTGTTCCATGCTTCAGGTCATGTCCATTTATGGCAAGTACCTGGTCATTGCTGCACAATCTCCCATCCTGGGCAGCCAAACCACCTTCCAGAACATCCAGGATGAAGATGCCTGTTTCATCTGTCCTACGAACTAACTTAATACCAAGTTGTTCACTAGAATCTCTTTTAAACAAAGTCACATGTAAGCCATTTTCTCTCATGCAGCTGCCATCAGGGTAGATATTTGTTCGAACACCAAAGCGTCTCTCCCTTAGAACAGTGAGATGTAGAGTAGAGCAAGGCTGTGTAAACACAGACCTAGCATAGTTGTGAGGTACATTGCTGATATCAACACCATTCACCTGGAAAAATGTTGAAAAAAGTTTGGCATTCTATTTCATGCTTACAGGATATTAAGAAAAGCATGATCAGCACAACAAAACATATCAATTATTGCCTTATGAAGCCATACATATATCTCATATCGTGTGTGTTCAGTCTGAAGATAGGATTTTGGCTCATTTTCTGCTGATTTTGTTCATTTGGAAGGGAGAACAAAATGAACAGTATTATTTAAACGGAGAAAAACAGCAGAAATATACAAAGCAAAGGGACTCGGGGATATCTGTGCACAAAACACAAAAAGCTAGTACACAGGTGCAGCAGATAATCAGGAAGGCTAACAGAACATGGCCCTTATTTCAAGGATGACAGTATAAGAGTAGGGAAGTCTTACTGTAACTGTACAAGGTGCCGGTGAGACTACATCCAGAGTACTGTAAGCAGGTTTAGTCCCCTTATTTAAGAAAATATATTATTTCATTCAAGAAATTTAGAAAAGGTTCACTAGCCTGATACCCAGGTTGGAGGAATTGTTTTATGAGCAAAGGTTAACCAAGTTGGGACTCTATTCAGTGGAACGTAGAACAATGATAGGTGATCTCATTGAAACATATAGGATTCTGAAGGGGTTTGGCAGGGCAAATGCTGAGAGGATCTTTCTCCTTATGGGAGAGGGTAGGACTAGAGGGCATAGTCTCAGAATTAAGGGGTACCAACTTACGACTGAAATGAGGAGGAATTTTTCTCTCAGAAGGTTTAGAATCTTCGGAACTCCTTGCCATAGAGAGCTGTGGGGGAAGAGTCCTGTGTATATTTTGATAAAGAGATCAACAGGAGAATCATGGATTATGAGGAAGGGGGAGGAAAGCGGACATGAGTGTTAGATCAGTCACAATCCTATTGAATGGCGGAACAGGTTAGAGGGGCTGAATGCCCTACTCCTGCTCCCATTTCTTAGGTCTTATGGTCTTTTAGTCCTGTGTCATTTTCTTACAGTTTTTGTCCTGGTGACTTGCCATTGCCTCTGCTCTCAGCGGCAGACGAATGAGACGAGTGTCAGGTCTATATTAGCTGGCACAGGAATCAAACTAGCCCTGTTGGCACGGTTCTGAACCATACACTAGCCATCTGAACAACTGAGCTATCAATTTATAACCTCCAACCCATAGATGGGAAAATAATTGGTGAGGAGGATGCAACAGAATACAAAGGGATATAGATTGGTTGACTGAATGAGCAAGAATGTGGCTGATAAAATACGTTGTAGCAAAGCACAGAGCTAATCATAGTGTGATGCAAAAAAGAATTAAATTTACATCAGGTTTGACTGTCACAAAAAAAAGTCAGAAAGTCAGCTATTTGCTATAATGGACAACCAATCTGCAACAGTTTTGCGTTAGGCAAAGTTGTAAATTATGTCTTGGTTTCCTCATTTTAACATTAGATTTGGAGACAAAAATCAATGTAAGAAAAACAGAACTGCTTTAACAAATGCACAATTGTATAGTATATATGCTATCAGCACTGTCATGCTTAAAGATCAAAAGCACTTATTGGAGTTTGGAGTTTCAAGGCTGCTTTATGTTTCAAAGGGTTACATCTAGTTTTATAGCCTAGCCAATATTTTAATCATCATAATTTCTGAACAAATATCTTTTGGTCAGCTTTCAACAGGTTTGTGAAGTTTGATTAGTTTAAGGAGAATTAACTTTGTTGATAAAGTGGATTTAAGGGTTTGGGATAGAGTGGGGGTAGGGGGTTAGTGGCATGATAATTATGTCACTTGAATGGTAATCCAGAACCCCAGGTTAATGTTCTGGGTACACGGGCTGGAATCTCACCACTGCAAATGGTGAAATTTGAATTCAATACAAATCTAGAATAAAAAGATAGCCTAACAGTGAAGATTGTGATAAAGACCCTTCTGGTTCACTAACGTTAATTAGGACAGGAAATCTGCCATCCTGACCTGGAATGGCCTACATGTGACTCTAGACAACAAGGTGCAGAGCCGGATGAACACAGCAGGCCAAGCAGCATCATAGGCTGCTTGGCCTGCTGTGTTCATCCAGCTCTGCACCTTGTTGTCTCGGATTCTCCAGCATCTGCAGTTCCTACTATCTGTGACTCTAGACTTTAGAGAATTAGGAACAGGGAATAAATGCAGACTGTGCCAGCATCAGCCACATCCTGTGACTGAAAAAAAGACTTAAATGTGTGTGCGAGAGATTGAGTCTGCAGTTTGCTAATATGAAAGTTTTATAATTCACCTATTTCTCACCTCATTAAAGCATTCAATCATAGAAAGGATCTAATCTGATATACTGCTCCAAGTAACAATCCGTTGACAAGGTAATTTCTAATTGATTGGGTACCTGGTAAGTTCAGATATTCAAAATGATAGTTCACCATAATGATAAGGCAATGAATTAAATTTACAATAGTTCTAGTACCAAAGGGAACATTAGAATATTTATTTTGACATCCTAACTGGAAATTGGTTGGAGCAGTTGATAGATGGAGAAAGTGTTCTTGACAAAACACAGCAAGAATTTTCAGTTTAACTGCATCTTATACTGAAACAAAAATAGAGATTGCTGGAAAAGCTCAGCAGGTCTGGCAGCATCTATGAAGAGAAATCAGAGTTAATGTTTCGGGTCCAGTGACCCTTCCTCAGAACTGAGGTGTTCTGAGGAAGGGTCACCAGATCCGAAACATTAACTCTTTATTTCTTTTCACACATGCTGCCAGACCTACTGAGGTTTTCCAGAAATCTCTATTTTTTATTCTGATTTACAGCACTCACAGTACTTTCAGTTTTTACATCTTATACTGAGCCTAATTTACTTTCAAACAATTCAAAATAAATCATGTAAACAATTTTTATCTCATTACCTGCAATATTTGATCACCAGAAAGAAGCCTTCCATCTTTTGCAACAATACTATCTTGGTAAACTTCCTGAATTACGATATTTATTAAGGGGGTTTCATTTCCACCTACAATACTCAGACCTAGCTCCATACAGGGATTGACTCTGTGGATTTCAATACTGGTAATCTCTCCTTCAGGCAGACTAGGTAGCTTTGATAGTGCTGCAATTAAAAAAAATTCAAACAAGTACAATTAAACCACTAACTCAATTTTTCAATAAATTATCACTCAGTGTTTTTAAAATTCTTTCTATATGAGTAAGTATATACTTATAGTTTAACTACACAGCAAAGCACATGGGATAGAGTGGTAGTTTGTTTATGTTTTTAAATTAGTTGCTTTCCATTTTTAGACATGCATCCAGAAATGTACCATGTGCAAGTCTAATTCTTTGCCGAGGACAAGGAAGAGAGGTTATAATGTAAATTATCACAGGAGGTAATCTTAATTAATTTGGAAGAGTATGTAGAATCATAGAATAGAATGATAAAATTGCTACAGTGCACATAAAAGTGTAATAATATATTCTGCTTGAGACTTGGAGAGCAGGATTTTTAAAGCTATTGGAAAAGAAGAGATTACAGTGAAATAAATAGGACAACACAATTAGGAGTGAAAAGAAATGAACATAATTATGACATATTGTGATATGTAAAATACAATTTTATAGTGGGCAAGGGATTAAAAATATTAAGAGGTTAATGTTGTGTGGAGCTGGAGGAACACCGCAGTCCCGACCCGAAATGTCAACTTTCCTGCTCCTCTGATGCTGCTTGGCCTGCAGTGCTCCTCCAGCTCCACACTGTGTTATCTCTGACTCCAGCATTGGCAGTTCTTACTAGCTCTAAGAGGGTAATGTTAGTCTTTTTCTTAAAAAATTGAAATGTACCAGAATAACTGTACCGGAATTGAATGGAAGTATTTGAATGCTCCAGTATGTTAACTAAAATTAGGCAGGTAATAATAGCAAAATAAGGAGTGACATGATATAATAGCATTTACAGAAAACATGGATTAAACATGAAAAGGACTAGGAATTTAATACTTCTGGATGTAACAGACAGATTTTGAGGTCAGCATCAAAGAGACGGCACTTAAGCTGACAGCAAAGAAAACTCCTCACAATGATCTTTCCCAAAATCAGTTTGAATCTGGTGCCAAGTCAAGGTAATATCCAAGCCATTAGCAACACCAATATCGGCATGCAGCATAGGTAGCCAATCACACTGAAGTACTCTAACAAATAGTAAACCAGAAAGTAAAAACAACTGAAATTTTCCACTTTTGATTGAAATTTTACAGACAGCATAATTGATTATTAAGAACTGGACATGGGATTGAAACAAAAACAGAGATGGACTTTTAAATGAAATTTTAAACCAATATTTTCATGATAACGGAGAAACTTAACATTCAACAAATGTAAGATTAGTTTTTCAGGTACAACAAAGCTGTTCAGCAATTATTATGCACGTAATGGGCAAAATCTTATTTCTTTTAGATTAAGTGTGGACACTCAATGTGGATTACATTTTTGCCATGTAATTATGTTTTTCTAAACTCATCATATATGCGTGCATAGTAAAAACATGAAATTTTACAAGCAGTACTGAACCCGCACTAGGACATTCTGGATTCTAACTTAAGGATGCATGGTTTAAAGGCATTCAGAAAACACTATACTGTCTGCAACCCAAAGCATCATTCAACCTTTGCTCATCACTCCCATCCACCCCTGAAGTTGTCATAGGCCAGGTAAAAATAGCACCACACCAAGGAACACCTCCGTAGGAGGTTCTATTGAAGGCTATCCAGGACACAAGGAAATTTATTTTTGTCAGGGATGACAATAGGAGGCCAACCTGACTGATGAAGCCAGTCTGATCAGACGTGTTTCTGGGGATCAGTGGTTCATGAGTACAGAAGAGAATTTGCTTCCATTGCCAGAAGAGGATGTATAATCTGCTGCGGTCCACTAATATTTGTACAACTGTCTACTTGATATGTCATGTCCCTACAGATGAGTTAGCATTGCAAGTTTGCCCGACCAGAGGGCTGTCACACACAAATTAAGTGCCTGGGATCTACATCAGATGCCTCATGTATAATCAATCTCTGTTACTGCACTGCAGCTACCAATGTAGCTTGACTGGCTCTACAGTGGTACTGTCTCTCACACATCTGCTAGGATATACACTTAAAACACAAAGCAGTTAAAACATTCAACAGCTCACGCGTCAACATGTCACTGATCTTGTTTCACAACTAGGAGTGCATACACATTGAATAGCTTCTCACCAAAGGCTTACACAGGACAGGACATGACCTCAGAACGTGGTTTCAGGAAGAACACCTCATAGTACCTTAGGCACATGCATTGTCTAACATGTTACTGGCTTGCATCAACTGTAGTTCTGCAATGACATGGAGCTGCCTTTCATTAAGAACACTTTGACACTTAACATTACCCATTCCACATTCTTCTTTTCTTACTAAGAAGACTCACAATCACTACCTGTATCTATAAATGTAGCCATAGTGCTCATGTACCATGCTAATGTAACAACACTGCTCTTCTTCAGGGGAGGAATGTGTATACTAATTCCCCAGCACAATCCGTGTGGAGAGAAAGTCACATTTTCATATTGAGGATACCCTTCATTGTGTTGTGTGACACAATCACCATGCTAAATGGGACAGACTTCAATCAGAACTAGCAGTTCAAAATTGGGCAACCATGAGGTAATGTGGGCCATCAGGAGGAGCAGAATTATATTGAACCATAATTGTTAATCAATCTCCCACTCTACCAGTAGTGCCATCAAATTGGGTAATCAAATCTGATTCAATGAGGGGTGCAGGAGAGCTTGTCAGGAGCAACACCAGGCATACCTAAAAAATGAGGTGTCATCCTGGTGAAGCTACACACAGGACAACTTACAAGTCCAACAGAGGAAGCAGCATGAAATAGACAAAGCTAAACAATCCGACATGCAGATTAGATCTAAGCTTTGCAATCCCTCCACATCCAGCTATCAATGGCAGCAGATATTTCCATAAGTATTCCCATTCTTAATAACAGGCAATCAATGTAAAAGATAAGGTGGACGCATTTGTATCCATTTTCAGCCAGAAGTTTCAAGTGGATGATTCATCTTGACTTCCTCCTGAATTCCCCAGCATTACAGATGTCAGCATTCAACCTTTTCAATTCATTCCACATGACATCAAGAAATGAAAGAAGGCACTAAATAATGGTGCTTTAAAAGTTCTAGGCTGGACAACACTCCAGCAATAGAACTGAAAATTTGTACTCAAAAACTAGCTGGGCTCCTAACCAAGCTTTCTCTGCACAGATACAACCCTGGCATCTGCCCAACACTGTGTAAAATTGTGCAGGTATGCTGTGTCCACAATAAACAAGACAAAACTAACCCAACCAATTGCTCCCCTACCAGTCCACTTTTGATCATCAGTAAAATGATGAAAGGTTCATTAACAGTGCTATTAAGTGGCACTTGCTCGGCAATAAACTGCTTATTGGCCCTGGTGAAAGCTAAACTGAACAGCTCTTAGTTCATGACTTCTTTACAGCCTTGATCCAAACATGGAAAAAAGGGGTTGGGGGCAGGTGGAGGGTACGATTTGATGGAGATGGTAGAAAACACTCCTAGTCTTCCTGGCTGACAAGCAGAGCTACAAAAAAAACAAGTCATCTATTGAGTCTGACTGCTCCTCTCACCCTTTAGCTGCTGAGTTTACTGAGACCTAGCTTTAAATTTAATTCACTGCCAAGATAGCAAGAATGAAATCTCATTGATCTCCTTAGGGGAGAGAAGATCAAGAGAAGAGTCTAAAATCATGAAGGGCTTGGACAGAGTAATTAAAAAGAAATGGATTCCGATGGTTGAAATAACCAATAACCAGAGTTAAGATGAATGCCAAAAGAATTGGAAGCAACACAATAGCTTTTTTACATAATAAGTGGTTAAAGTTTGAAATGGTCTGCCAAGTAGGATTTTGTAAAGGAACAGGATTAGCTTTATTGCTCTTTGAATGGTGATACAAATTCATGGGCTGAAGAGCCTCATTTTATGCTATTCTCATCCATATCAATCTGACTTATGGATTACAATTATGGATCTGCCTTTGCAGAATGGATTACTTTGGTACTCCAAAACACACTGCAGTCAAAACAGAAGTAGACATGTTTACGGTGAGTTAAAACATAGGTTTCATAAGAATGCTATTCAGCTCGCCAAATATCTTCTCACTCATCATGAGTTCTGGGGTTGAAATTCTCCTCAGAATTTACAGCACAAAAATTGGCTATTGGTTATGAGTGTCTCCTCTCATACATTTTCATCTAACCCCAAAAAGCTTATGCTTCAGTCAGGAGGACGGTGGAACAGACAAAGTAAAACAAATAGAACATTACCACAATATTCCAACATATTGAGAGGATTTCATTCTTGATTGCATGTTGTGCTGAGAATTGATTTGATAGCAAACTAAATTTTTTTCCAGATTGTGAGTACCAAACTAGATGGTGCACCACAGATTCAGCGATGAACCATTTCTGATGATCAAATAATTGAGGATCTTGTTATACTTTATAGTAGGCATTTTTAAAGTCAGAATCTGATTTGGGTCTAAATAATATGTCTTTAGCTTATAGCTGAAGCAAGAAACATTTTACTGGAAGCAGTAAACACATGGTATACAGCACAGTGTTTCAAACGGCGCAGATACTTACAGATCAGATAAGATTGAATCTCAGAACTGGTGGATTCATTGCTGGTTACTGGAAAACATGCAATGCTACTTGCAAAAACAAAATGCACTGTTCATACTTGGCTAACCATTAAAATTTATAGATGGCCAAATTTTCTTTCAGTATAACTTGTTACCATGCCCAAACAAAGCACGAACAGTATTCAATGAAAAATTGTGAGAATTGTCAAAACATTAATTACTATTACTATGTGCAGGAGACAAGAATTCTCAAAACATTTAAGCACTATTTAGATGAGCACTTGAAACACCACAAGGCCAAGTGTTTGAAAATAAGAATAGAATAAATGGATGTGAATAGCCTTGTTTGCTATCTTTGATATTTTTCACCAGATACCAGTAAAGCTCCATGCATATTGAACTCATG